CATAGTAAAACATGGTATAGTGCATGAAATATGGCTGTAGGCAGAGACAAGTACTGGTACCAGTAGTTAGGTTGTCATATGGTTCAGAAGATGAGTTAGCCATACAAGTGTAACTCCTAGATGCCTTGCATAGGTTTTCATAACCAATAGGAAATACATTTTTCATCAAGTAAGAAGCGTTAATATTGGATATATGAGCCAAAATAAAGAACCTAAGACCATTTACATTGTCTAGCTAGCAGTTAGAGAAATAGCCTTGAGATTCGGGAGTCAGCTAGCCTTTGTAGTCGTGGGTGTGGGGAGAAACAGATGGTAAGTGTGTACATGATTTTATTTATTTTTAACTTACTTATTTAGTTTGGTTGTTTGGCTGTGCTGGGTCTTAGTTGTGGTACGTGGGATCTAGTTCCCTGACCAGGGATCGAACCTGGGCCCCCCCCCCTGCATTGGGAGCGTGGAGTCCTAGCTGCTGGACCGCCAGGGAAGTCCCTGTACATGATTTTTAAAAAGGATAATTTCAGACAATTATATTGAAGAAAATAAAACAGAATAACGTTATAGAGGTGGGGAGGGTTGCTTCACTGGGGTGAGCAGGGAAGGCCCTTCCTGGAGGACACGTGAGAGCTGAGACCTGAGTAAGGAGGCAGCCACACGGGGATGGAGGATGACACCGTTCCAAGCAGAGGAGCAACAGATACGTTTAGAAGAATGAAGAAGTAGAGCTAAAAAGAAATTCAGCCTTCTAAATTTGTAATCTTTTCAGTACCATCATAATATTCCTTAGAATGATTATTGAGATTCTTCCATAATAATTTAGTTAAAGTTATATGTGAGTGATTTAATTAAAATATTTCTTACTTCCAGACTTTTGGATCCTTTGTTTTCCCGTTCAGTATGCAGCATACCATCAGAATTTCTCTGAAAATAGCTACATCTTGAAGAACAGTGTGATTTTAGTATTTCAGCTTAATTATAAATGACTCGTAATTTTAACACAGTCTTCCATTGGACTTGAAATCTGCTTTGGGGCATACTGAACTCTAGAAGCATTTTTCACTGATTCATTTAGACTTTGAAACTTAATTGTCATCTCTTAGAACTCTCTCCTGTGAGTGGGGGGCACTGCTTCTGTTGATAAGATTCAGTGCCCAGGCATATTTTGAGAGAGTCATTATTCCTTTTGCTTTATGTATTACAGCTAATGCTAAGGAACTATGCTCTTCTTTGTGTTTGTGTTTTATTTTTATGTTAATGTGGACTGTAGACAGTTTAGAAAATCTTTAAAGCAAAGCATAACAGATTTATTTGAGATGTTATCTTTAGTAGTATTTGACCAGCTTATGTTCTAGAGAATAACCCACCAAACTCCTGAGCTTCAAGAACTGACTGTCCACTAGACAGGCTGTGGGCCACGGGTCTGAGCTGTTCTTCCATTTCAGAGTGTTGAGGATGGTGTGCCTGGGAGACTTGCCACAGGCCCGGCTTTGCTGAGAATAAAACAGAAGAAACCAGTGGCATTCTCCAAGGTGAACAACAGAGAAGGAGGTCCAACAGAGATAGGCAGAAAGGCAATAACTAGCTCCCGAGGTTCTGCATGGAGATCCATTTGGGTGCTGAATGGAAAGTAGATCAGGAGAGCTTTCCTTCGGGCAGTGCTTTTACAGAAAGGATCCTCCCAAGCTGGAATAACAGGGACCAGACTTACTCTCCCACCTGATGCAGCCAAAACACAAGGGAAGTAACACTTTGGAAGACATTGGGCAAAGAAGAGTAGTGATCTCCTTGATCGATAGGAAACAGGTGGAACGAGCCCTGTGGTTTCCCCAGCATCCTGCCTTGAGCGTTTCCAGGCTAAGTGCAGGGAGGGGCCCAGGTAGAGCCTGGCAGACTCTCTGAACTGAAGAACAGCTGAGCGCCTGGGGACCCAAGGCAGCCAGAGTTCACAGGACACAGTACCAGGGAGAGAGGATATGGAAAATCTGCAGAAAGCTCCCCTGAATATTCAGCAGAGGACCGGTAATTCATGTGAGGAAACCACCTGAGGCAGGAGGAGATATCATCAAAAAGGGTCAGTTAGCAGTGCCCGGCGCTCACATCCTCACTGTGCCTGAGCCCAGCGGCCAGACTGAAAAAGCTTAGAGTTCCTGGGGTACCAGGCAGAGCACTCAGGAGCGTATCCTCCAGCAGCGGTACAGTTAGCCCTTGACTGAGCCCTGTTCCAGACCTGCTTAACTAAGCATAAAAGCAAGCATCAAAAAGATCAAACTGTTTCCAAATAAATTAACTGTATCCCAGAACAAAGCTGAGGAATATTTGTAGAAATACAAAAATAGCTAATAGCCAACAAGGTAGATCATTCTGACAGGTTGCTTGTGAATGGACAAGATGCATGGCACACTGAAGTTAAAATATTGTTCTAGAGAAAGATCGTATACAGGTTGTGTCATACTGAGACGTTCATGGAGACCAAATCCATGATGCACTTTAAATATTTAAACTGTATTTTTCTTCTTAGTCTTTAGGTAACTAAGCCCATTGACAAATCAGTCCTTATTTACCTGACCTCTTGAAACTGTCCTTTTTTTTACTTCTATAACACTCATATCCTAAATTTTCTTCTCTACTGTAGGTTAGTGTCTAGTTGCCATTGTAGATGCTTTAGTTCTGTTATTCTCTTGGGTTCTGTTCTTGGTTGTTGCCACCTCCCATTCTATGTATTAAAAAGATCTTGTTCTATAACACATGCCCCTCCACAGTACCTGTGTAAGGAGCAAATGACAGCAGGGACTTCTAAGATACAGTTTTGTGAAAATTACCTCAAGCAGGTAGGCCAGCTCTCCCCCAGCGCCACCTTCATCCACTTTCTACCCTCTTAACCACAGACTCACCAAGTGCATAAGGGTACACATTTTCATGACTGTAGAATGCTAAGAAACAAAAGATTGGGTAATAGTGAATAGTAGCCGGTCTTTTGTGAAAGAGGTCTTGTAAGATCTTTCCTATGAACTTTCCTATCCATCAGCCATAACCAAGGGACACTCTTCTACTGTGTTCAATACAGAAAGTATTGCTGATCATACTTTTAAAAAAATTTCCCCTAAACATTTTCAAATATGAAGAAAAATGTGAGAGTTGATTTTGCACTTCACATTTTGAATGTGGTATTTTGCCATAGAGAATCATTGTGTAAGGTTTTTATCATGGATTTGTCCTGGGGAAGCAGTTTAGTGTTTAGAGAAAGTGTGCTTCCATCTGTGAGACGATTGTGTTTATGGAGACATTTATCCAGTGGCTCCAATCTATTAAGTTTGCATCTGTGGGTCTGATTTAGTTGATTTCTATACGTATACAGATTTAATATACTTCTTGCAACACTCCATAGATTTATTTATTAATGTGATGCTTTTTTTTTTTTCCTGCCCTCATAACTCAACCCCTGTAGAGAAAATGATTAAATAGCAGTTTCGCCCTTTGGAAATATTAGATTTTTGAGTCTGGTGTTATTTGGTGAATGTTTTAGTTTCAGGGTTGGTTATGCTAAATTTTGTGACGGCCTTTGCTGAATTGAGTAAAATTTAAAATACGGTAAAATCTAAAGGAAGGCATTTCAATTCTTTCTACTTATTTGATCTTCTGAAAATATTATTAAACTTTGAAAAAGAAGAGACTCAGATTTTTGAAATTGCAAGAGGCAAACACGTTGTTATCAGATGAGAGACTGTGTGGTCAAACTTTTTTATAAAGAATAAGATCCTCCCTAGTCCTAGCAAAGGCTTCTTTGAAGAAGCAGCTATTCTTAGTCATTCTGCAGCCACAGTACTTGATAATCATGACTTGCTGCTGAGTGTCTGTTGTGTCTGACTCTGTGCACATGTGTGATCAGGGTGGATGAGACATGATCTCTGCACTTCAGGATCTCTGCAGTGTAATTGTAGAGATGATACCTGCATGGAGATCACTGCATTACAAGGCAGTGCACCAGGTGTTATAAAACTGATGGACCTGAGCGCTATAGGAGTTGAGGTAAGGGGAGATGGCCATTTGAGTGTGAAGGATATCTTCATGGAAAAGGTGAACTTGGATAAGAGTTTGGAGAGTAGCCAGAACTTAGACATTTGGTTAGCTGCGAGAATGACGTAATAATGGTCAAGAGTGAAGCACCTGCCATGTTTTCGATCAGTGTCACCTGTCATCATCAGTTATACTTTCCCTCAAAACTCAGTTCAATCCTGGCTCCTCCAGGAAGCCTTTCCCAGCAACCCACAGTGTGTGAGTTGCTCCCTCCTCTGTATTCCTAGAAAATCCTCAGCATGGCTGGCATTATCAGAGCACTAATCTATGACATCAGTTTCTAACTGTTGCTTTACTTCTGTCTCTTCTCACTAAAGTTGCTTGAGGTTGTGGAACGTGTATAACCCAACCTGAGCATTATTCCTACTGCTATTCCTAACATTATTCCTAGTGTCTAAGGCTCAGTACATTTTTTGTTGAATGAATGATCAAGGATTACATTCAGTATGAGAAAATGAATATTTATCCAAGGCGCGGTATTTATCATCATGACAGTAGTGACATGGGGAGAAATGGATGGATTCAGGATATGTTTTGAGATAGGATTAATAGGATACATTGATGGATTAGATGTGGCGAAGGAGGGAGATGGATAAACCAAAGCTTGAGGAACTTGGTAATGGCATGAGTTGAGATGAGAGAGACTGAAGGAAGAACAGGCTCTTTTTTTTTAAAAATTTATTTACTTTATTTATTTTTGGCTGCCATTGGGTCTTCGTTGCTGCGCACGGGCTTTCCCTAGTTGTGGCGAGTGGGGTCTACTCTTCGTTGCGGTGTGCGGGCTTCTCATTGCGGTGGCTTCTCTTGTTGCGGAGCAGGGGCTCTAGGTGCGCGGGCTTCAGTAGTTGTGGTGCGCGGGCTCAGTAGTTGTGGCTCGCAGACTCTAGAGCACAGGCTCAGTAGTTGTGGCGCATGGACTTAGTTGCTCTGCGGCATGTGGGATCTTTCCAGACCAGGGCTCAAACCTGTGTCCCCTGCATTGGCAAATGGATTCTTAACCACTGTGCCACCAGAGAAGCCCGAACAGGCTCTTTTACAGGTATTGTTGGGAAGCCTGCTCCACTTTGAGCAGAGCTCTCAAATAGGCAGTTGCATTTGCGTCTGGAGCTCAAAGAAGAGATCAAGACAGGAAGTATAAATCAGGAAGTCAGTGTGTGGATGGTATTTGAGGCTGCATAGCTGAATGAATTGCCTTGTGAGAGAATATAAGTTACGCAGAGGGCCCAGGACCGGGCTGGCAGAGCTCCAGCATCTAGTGGTCTGGAAGGGGTAGAGAAGTAGCAGAAGGAACTGAGGGAGAAGGAGAAAAACTAGAGAAAACTTTCTCAAGGAATCAAATTCTGCTGAGGGATCCGGACGAGAACTGAGAGTGAGCATTGCCTCCGGCAGCTTGGTGATTGCTGGTGACCCTCACTGTGCAGTGGTGGGGCCTGGAAGCCAAGCTGGAGGAGGTTCAGGACTGAACGGGCAGTGGGGGAGCTGAATCCCTGAGTGGGTTTCAGGCGATGGGAGTCATGTCTTTCAGCATCACCAGCCTTAGGTTTCCTACCTTCCAGATTATTTCATTAAGTTCCAAACTGAACTCATGCGCTGCCCTCCAAAATCTGCTCCTCTTCCTAAGTGTTCTGCTAACGAATTCCCTTTCCTTCCAGTGATCCAGACTAGAACTCTCACGGTTACGTACCTTGTGCCCATGTCATCAGTTGCCATGGTCTGTTGAGTCTCCTCCATGGCGTTTTTCAAATTGGACTCCCTCTCTTCATGGCCATTGCCACTTATGTTGCCCTTTCCAGGCACTAGTTGGCTCTTCTTCAAACTCTTCTAATGGTTTCCTGAGTGCTCCCTGCTTTATGCTCCCCCTCGTTAGTGCATCTGTCCATCACGGCTAGAATGTTCTTCCCGAAGCACAGATTTGCTCAAGTTTTTCTCCTGCTAAAAATAAAACCAAATCCTTTTAGCCTGGCAGTCAGAATCCTCTACCTCTTTAGCTTCATCTCCCACTACTTTCTCTTCATTCAGCCTACTCTTCTGAATTGTTCTTTCCTAAAGATAACCCACACCGTTCAGCCTCCACGGCTTCACTTTCACCGTTACCTCTGCTTGACGTGCCTTTCCCTCCCTTCTCTTATATCTTCTGTATTTCCAGATGCTGTTACCTCTGACATTGTGGAGTTTGCCCTAAAAATTACAACACTTCAAGGCTTTCAGTGCTACTGATTTCCTTTATCAGTTCTTTAAAAGTTCCGTAGCACTGACTTCTAGCTTAAACCACCGTTATCTGTACCACCACTACCTCAACCAGCCTTCTTTCTTAGGAATTGGGTACAGGAGTGGATGACTTCCTGAGAGGAAGTTTCTTGAACTGCCGTGGGTCATGACAGTCTGTAAGCAGAGGTGTCTTAGGGGAGAGCACCCGGCTCGCCTTTCCTCTTTTCTCATAGCAGCTTTCCGTTGCTTTGATGAGGCAGCCAGAAGGTTGGAAGGTGGGCATGGTAAGCTTCCCTTCCACGTGAAAGCTTCCCTCAATTGGGCAATGACTCGTTAATAAAGTAGACACTGGATTCTTCACTTTATGGTTTTTAGTATTCAGGGCGAGAGTAAGGGAAAAACAATGTCTGAAATCATTACTCCAAGTTTCACCTTTTTAAAACAGGAGGTGCTTTTTTGAAATTTTGTTTACTGCTGCATGTTCTAAAAGAAGGAAGGCAGACACTATCTAAAGACTGTAATCGGAGAGAAAAGAATTACTTCCTAAATACTGAACTGAGTGTTCCGTCATCTTGTCCACCCCTTGGTGGCTGTAGGGGATTGCTCACACGAGGGCATCAATAAGAAGTAGAGGAAAAAAAAAAGTAGATTGAAGGTATCTCTTCAGGATATTCTCTTACAATACATGTTGCCTTTCCGCCAGGGCTATTTCGGCTTTCATCCCGTTATTGGAGTGTAAAGTAGGTTTTAGGCATGTTTACTTTGGACCTAGTCTTTTAAGAATGCAGCTGGGCTATTGGCTCAAGGGAAACAATTGCACTCTTTTTTTTTTAAATGATAGGATTGAAAATAACATTCTTTTTTCTTAATGAACTGTGGTGCTGGGGCAATATTATCATGAGTTGGTATTTTTAGGAAAAAAAGAGGGGTGAGATGACCATCTGATTTAAGAACCTTCACTTGGCTGTTACAAGAATATTGGCTTTTCAGTGGCACCTTGCCAGTTCCACCAGCCAGCTGTTCATTGTAGTCAACTGTTTTGGAGCGTGACGGGTATTGTAATTAGCAATGTGGAATACTGATTTGAGAATCTAAAATAGCTCTAGATTTTTAGTAAAACGTACATGCAGATAAAAGAAATGTCTCATATTTTGAGTGGGATAACAAACCTTTACTAAATGAATTTGCCTCCTCAAAATTATTAGTACTGATAATGAGAAAAATATAATTACAAAATTATAAAGGAAAACCTGAAAAAAACTTGCTTTTGACTTCTTTGTCAAAAATGTTTTGTATTATGGGGACTTCCCTGGTGGCACAGTGGTTTAGAATCCACCTGCCAATGCAGGGGACACGGGTTCGAGCCCTAGTCCGGGAAGATTCCCACATGCCACGGAGCAACTAAGCCCGTGCGCCACAACTATTGAGCCTGCGCTCTAGAGCCTGCAAGCCATAACTACTGAGCCTGCGTGCCACAATTACTGAAGCCCGCGTGCCTAGAGCCCATGCTGTGTAACAAGAGAAGCCACTGCAGTGAGAAGCCCGCACACCACAACGAAGAGTAACTCCCGCTCGCCCCAGGTAGAGAAGGCTCATGCGCAGCAACCAAGACCCAACACAGCCATAAATGAATGAATGAATGAATGAATGAATAAATAAATAGATTTATTTAAAAAAATGTTTTGTTATATGATTGTTCATCTATCTTCCCTGGCTTTACACTTCCCCAGGAAACTTTGTGTTTCAGCATCGCTAATTGACACTGACAAAATTACAAACCAGAGGATTTCCTGGAGGCCTGGCCCTTTTGTGTCAGGATGATCTATGGACTTCAGTCCTTTGATATATGCTCTCCCCTTTCATTTAACAGGGAAAACACTGCTCCTATTCTGGATGATTTTTAATTAAAGATTTAAAAAATCTGTGGTTTAATATTTATCAGTGGAGGGAAAATTGTTAAGTGCTTTTATAAACTGATTCTTACATATACTAGATGGTTCCTAGCTGGCATTAAAATGCTGTATGTCTTCTTATAAGTATTTCAGTGTTTTAATAGTTTAAATTTTGGTAGAACTTTTTTGAGCCATTAATAGGGTAATAGCAGAAAAACTGAAAATAGTAGCTTTAGGCTAATTGTACTGGTAATTTCAGTGAAGTATAATTGACATGTGAGCATCTAGAAATACCACTCTGGGCATTTGAAGTACTTAAAATTTTATAATCTAAGAGCAGTTTCCATTGGGAATAGATTAACAAATTTGTATCTTTTTTTTCCTACAGGAAGGAACTTGAAACCTTCAAAGGTAATTTTGTGTTTAATTCTTCACTTTAAAGTAGATGAGAGTTAATTGATGTCAGATGTTCTCTCTTGTTGATGATGAACGAATGCATTCCTTTTTCTTTAAATCAGACAATTTACATCAGAAAAGTTTGCTTAATACTGTTTTCATAAATTTTATTTAATCACAGGTGGTTTTGATATTCTTTTTTAGCTGTAACACATGTACCAAGTGAGTTTCTGCTAATGACATTATAAGTAGTATGTTAGGAGACACAGCGCTAACTTTGAGGTTGTTGAGAATCATAGTGTTTGGGGTTTTTTTTTAAACATTTATTTATTTATTATCTGGCTGTGCGGGGCCAGGTCTTAGTTGTGGCACACAGGATCTTGTGGACTCGAGTGCTGTGCACACACAGCAGTATGTGGACTCTTAGTTGTGGCACGTGGGATCTAGTTCCCTGACCAGGGATTGAACCCTGGCCCCCTGCATTGGGAGCGCGGAGTCTTAGCCACGGGACCACCAGGGAAGTCCCAGAGAATCATAATTTAAAAAGATTCTGGTTTCTGTTGTGCTGAGCCTGGGCCACACGTAGAGGCTGTGGTGATAAAGGCAGAGAGGTGGCCCTGCAGTTGACCCAGAGTCACATGAACCTCCTGCGAGGTTTTCAGTGCTGGGTCATGCTCTGCCACCATCTTGTAACTTTGGATACATCTCTTTATCTTTTTCAGCCTTAGTTTCTCAATCTGTAAAATTACAAGCTTTGATGAACTATATTCTGAGATACTAAAAGTGCCCAGCATTGCTTTTTAATTTTAGGGAGCTGTTGCAGGTGGGCACTGAAGAATAATTCTTGGTCACGTTGACCCTTACTGGTTATGGGGAAACACTTGTGAAAAATAGGGAAAACCACAAACTTTCCAACAGCCGAAAGCCCTTCCAGTTTGCCACTTTTCAATTACTCATTAGCAATTGAGTAGTGAAATTTTTCTCAGAGAATTTCAGTAACCAAGAAGACTTTGAATTATTGCTTATTATGTTTCATATATAAGCTAGTATTGACTTTTAGAGTTACTGGTTAAAGATTTTCCATATATTATTTACAGTTGAATTGTTCACGTGTATGATTTATTTGGATGTGTTAGAGAAAATAAGTAACCCGCAAGGTAAAAGGTATAAAGGCTTATTCCTACTATGACTATAATCAGACAGACTTGTTTTGGCTGAGTTTCTATTTGACTGACTAGTTATAGTAAATGATTAAGTTCATGGCCAGTTTGTTGAGGGCCATGTTCAATGATAATGTGATGTATTATCATGGCTACATCATTATTCTTAATCAATTTGTGAACCACAACTCATGTACATTATTTTTCCTCACTGGTTTAAAATAAGATTTGAAACCCTCATAAAATATTATTGTCCCTCTCCTTCTTTTCTTTTAGTCTGCTAGCATCTTATGTTAGGAGAAGAAAAAAAGCAACTTAATATTAAAAGACAGGCAGGAACACAGATTATGCAAAATGTCAACTTTGCTTGCATCTCACAGAAAGAGAGGAGACCAGCAGTTTGCAAAAGGTTAGATAGTGTTACATATTACCTGATAGAATAATTCAATTTATGCTGAAATATCTTGTTTACACACACATCCCTAATTATGCACAATATTTAACAGCACATCCAACCCACCCACAGGCCAATTAAAGCTCTCAAATTTGAACAGACCCTAAACTGATTATTGTATCATATCTAGTGTTTTAAAGAACTAATATTCATTGAAAATTTTTTCCTCTTGAGTGTTATTTTTTTATTTTATTTTTTTATACAGCAGGTTCTTATTAGTCATCCATTTTATACACATCAGTGTATACATGTCAATCCCAATTGCCCAATTCATCACACCACCACCCCCAGTCCCCCGTGGCTTTCCCCCCTTGGTGTCCATACGTTTGCTCTCTACATCTGTGTCTCAATTTCTACCCTGCAAACCGGTTCATCTGTACCATTTTTATACGTTCCACATATATGTGTTAATATGCGATACTTGTTTTTCTCTGTCCAACGTACTTCACTCTGTATGACAGTCTCTGGGTCCACCCACGTCTCTACAAATGACCCAGTTTTGTTCCTTTTTATGGCTGAGTAATATTCCATTGTATATATGTACCACATCTTCTTTATCCATTCGTCTGTCGATGGACATTTAGGTTGCTTACATGACCTGGCAATTGTAAATATTCCTGCAATGAACATTGGGGTGCATGTCTCTTTTTGAATTATGGTTTTCTCAGGGTATATGCCCAGTAGTGGGATTGCTGGATCATATGGTAATTCTACTTTTAGTTTTTTAAGGAACCTCCATACTGTTCTCCATAGTGGCTGTATCAATTTACATTCCCACCAACAGTGCAAGAGGGTTCCCTTTTCTCCACACCCTCTCCAGCA